GTGAAATTCCCCTTATTCTGGTCGAATAGTGGTCTGATTTTAGTTATTCTGACGTAATCCATGACCTACTTATGAAAGGGTTCACTGAGATTTCTACATGGTTCACTGTCATTTGATTGGGTTTGGTTTATGAACATGACGTTCCATGGAAAACTTAATAGTAGTGGAAGATGTAGATAATATGCATGTTGTTCAGCTCATTTGAGGTTGTTGTGACTCGTTATTCAACCTGCGATGCAAAATTTATTGTTTTAATGTTGATTTCACTCATGTATAATTGGTGGGCCCACAAAATTATTGTATTTGTAGGAAAAAACTGGATAATATTATTTTTGTTTTCGAATTTTTTTTCAACAATTCCATCTGCAAATAAATCAACTGGTAGAATATGATCAGATATGTGAAATTCGACCTTTCCTGTATCACTTTTCGTTAGGATGTGGTCGCTATATGAAGATTTTTTTTTCGTCAATGGCGGAGAATATTCTTGCCAACAAATATGGCGTCGGTTTCAGATTGAACTTGAAAGTCGAATTTTCCGGAGTTTTCAACTTTCAGGGCGAATAGGCTGCGTTCATGGTCAAAAATTCTGTTCATTCTGACTATGGAGCCCAATTTTGCCATATTGGGATTTCAGACTATATCTGCGAGTATTCTATTTGGGTTGTAGTCAACATGATGAAATAACGTTATCAGATGTTTCCTATAATCATATAATCTGTCAAATGTTTGTTGTTCGCCTTCAATTTCTTATTCTGCATAGTGGTATGTTTTCTTATTGGTCGCTGGATGACAACCTCCATTTTTCAGCCAATCAGAAGAGTCCATCACCCTGTTGCCGTTCTAATAGACATCTCCCAAACAGTGTTGCCGTTCTAGTACACTCTCAGTACATTTGCCATTTTGTACGTTCTCAACCGAAGTGTAATAATTGATACCTATTTTTCAGCTTTGAAAGTTATCTGAAACATGGATTCTGATCTGACCAATGAAATGAGTGAAGTAAAAAAAAAAGAAAACTTCGGAAGTCAAAACAAATCGCTGGTTCAGTTGATCGAACATCATCATAATGTATAACCAGATAATAATTCGCTTCAGAAGCGTTCAAGCGAAAAGCTACCTGAACTACTCACTGGTAATGAAGAATAAAACTTTCAGAACTTTCCAAAACATTGCGCTTGTTTCCAGTTTCTTCATCTTTCCAGAAATGAATGATTATTTCGAAATATTTGCAAACATAAAGCACCAGGATCGATAATAGCCATCAACTTTGAGAACATGATTTCTGGATCAATTTTGGTATTTTCGACTCTCTCAAGAACACTCCTTTCTATAAGGATTTCATAGTGGTAATCTTGCCTTCATCGGACATGAAGCTGGTGCTAGTTATGTCGAAAAAGTTTAAGAAACTCCTTCGACTCAATTGGTGGAAAATTGGTGAAACAGAGTATACCTCCGACTTATTTTCTTCATCTGATTATCCCCAGACTATATGAACGTTCATGAAGTTAGAATCTGGTAAATTTCAACTCCAATGAATTTAATGAGGGTTCGAGGGCCTTGAAGACTTTACTGGTAATTTTTATGTTTAATAGTTCCCAATCAATAACTAAATACACACTAGGAGCATGAAGTTATGCTTGAAGTCTATAATGAGTTGTTTCCAACTATGCAATTTGCCTATAAAGTTGATGATTTTCATGGAGAATGTTGAGGTCCTAATAATGCATTTTATAACCTCATCCATGATTTTCTAGTCACTCAGGGCATGAGGGTAAAATAGTCTGTCGGAAATTAGTGAATTTCGACTTCTTCAAGTAATTTTTTGTCTCTGCTTGGTATAATTATCTTGAAATGTTGGTTGGGTCATTAAAGTAGGAAAATGTTCTGAGAATATGTCAAATTCTCATGGAATATTTGTTTCCAGGATGAAAATATTCTATGATCATTTCCAAGACATCCTATCAGAATATTAAAAAATAAGTACGAACGTTGTGAACGTAGTCAGAATATTCGTGGAATATTTTGTGCTATTCGAGATATCATTACAGATGATGGCCGACACGTCTGTTCATTTGAAATCAGACTATGGATAATGATAATAAAAATAATGATGTCGTTTCTTTTGTTCTGAGAAGAATAGGACGTTGTTGGTTTTGTGATGATTGAATGGAAGTGGGATGAATATCTGTTCATGTTCTCTCACAGCAGGTATTGACAACTTGGAGTGTGGAAAATTTTAGAAAAATTACGGAAAAGTTAGAGTGAGGGCTCGAAAAAAATATGCCGGGATTTATAATTCACAAGAATACAGTTCAATTGAGTGTGAAATGATGGAGTTAAAAATGTGGTCGACCATTATTATTCGAAACTGCGAATGGCATGTTTAATTAATCTCTGCAATAAACCTCTCAAGGCAGGCTATAATTATGTTATGTCTTGAAGTGACAGAATTGACAGTGAAGTCTCAGTAGGCAAATAAGGAAATGGAACAGAAGAACGAGAACAATACTTTCGAAATCTCTTGGAGACCTCAAAGGAATGTTTGTGCTCGCTGGGTGGTGCCTTTTTTGTAAGCGAAAACGTAGGGGTTGATGCATAACTCACTCTACTCGCATGGTATGATTGTTGAATCTGATTTTACATCGTTGCACTTACACTTGACTTACTGAACTACGAGCTTACTTGAGAAAATACATTTCAAAAAATTATGGAATCTCGCAACGTGTGTTGAAAACTATCTGTTTACGCTCACCACTAGCTGCGTGGAAACAGTAGGTACCCTTGATATGGTGCTATGGCTAGGCCGTTTTCAAATATTGGTTGACGGAGCGGGAACTGACTGCAGGCATTCGTCTGAAACTACGGATTTTGGTCGTGTTCCATATTCCTTTCGATTATCTATAATAAACTGCTTCCGCTATGGTCCATCTGCCTTTCTACATGGGAAATAAAATTTCGTAATATACTACCGATAATATAACATCATCACCCTTCTGGATGGTGAAAAACTCAGTACCCAACAGCACCATCTACTTGTCGGAATTATTTTGGTTCGTGTTTTGTCCCGTTAGATTAAACATATTTCCACAACAATACCTCAATCAACGGCCTGACTATAATTTTCATGTTAATGCTCATTGCTACGGAAATGTCTTCATTTGGAAACTTAAAAAAAAATTTCCAGCTACTTTCCAAACATTTTCGTAAAACATCTTGTAACTCTGAATCTGACATGAATATCGATATACTGTTTTCACCATTATGAGTTTGTCATGAGAATTGATTCTCACAGGCATCGACATCAGGTTTCTTCTATCTCGTTCGTCAATAGGACTTTATCTTTCAATATGTTTAATTTTATCCACCCTGTACACAATTGGTTACTGGGCTGAACATATTTCTGGGAACTTCCGACAGGATTCAAGACTAATTCTGTTATGTAGGTACTCAAGTTATCCGAAATTTCATTACAATAATCGAGTCGTTTCTCGAGTCGTTTATTGAAAATATTTCGTTTCCGACCGAATAACATCAACAAGATTTGATGAAATAACAACATAGTCGGGGCTTGTTTCGCGAAAATCCAAATCCTAGAAGCATTTCATGTAACAATTGAATAAATGACGTATACCTCCTATGTCGACCCCGCTGAATCCAAAAATACCGTTTATCAAGTCGAAATTCCAACCGGAAGTGGAATATTCAAGATGGCGTCCAAAATACCCCCAAAATCTAATTATTTTCTACTTTTGGTCAACCATACGACTGAGGTGCCGATGTCTATGTTTTCGGGGGTGTAGAACACGATGAAACACTTAAAATATGATTTGGAGCATTGAAAGTTCATCAAATGATTTGGACGAAATGGGCAAAAATTACAAAGAAAAAACTTGTGAAAACGTGTTGTATATGCTTGCATACGTTTTCGAGGGCGCTTAATACGTTTATGAGCTCAAAAAAGCATTCAACCATTGTCCAAAGTTTTATTCCTTACATTTTGAAATAAAATAATTCACTATCAGTAGTCTTCTTTATCTTCTTCTACTCCATTCATGCACTTTGCCTTGCACTGGCACATCTTGGTGCACGGCACCCTCGGCGGCTTCCTGCACTCACACTGCTTCGTGCTGCAGGGTCCCTTGCAGTCACAAGCTCCAAATTCGGGACATCACTTGGGAATAGGTGGCAAAGTCATCAAGATTGGGACATACCGTCCATTAACAATTTTCCAGCCGCATTTAATCGAGTCTGGTAAATCAGGATTCTGATCATGGGCGTTAATCCACACTAGTACCTGAAAAGAAAACATAAATGGAAATCTCTAGATTTTTTCTGTTTTGTTGTTTTTTTCTTGTCAATTTTACCTGAAAGTGGCACCTAAGAATGTGTTGACGGAGGGCATCAGTGGTAGGTGGCAAAAACTCTAGCATTCGCACTGTCCCAAAAATTGCAACACGGGCTGCGTCTGCCGTTGTAATGTCCGGTCCAACCTAAAATAAAAATGGTATCACTATTGAAACGGCTAACAGTTTTTATCCACCATGTATTCTAGAGAAGGGATGCAACAAACCTTGTATAAAGCTTGGACCACAAACTGTTCAACTGAACGGATATCCTCGGGGGCCAGATCAGGAGTTTTTCCAAGCTGACTGAGAAGCTTACAGTAGTTTTCTTCCATGTACTGCTTCCACCGTCCTGTTTTCGTGACTGACGCTAACTTTGATGTAGTATCACATCCGGTGATTGCGTGGAAAGCCATTAGGTTTTTGATCTGTTGTGGTGTGAGCTTCTTACATAGTTCGTGGATTGGAATATACTTTCTGTTTTTCGTACCACACATCACCCAGCATTCCTTGCATTTCATTTTTTCAAAGTGATAGATGAATAATGAGATCACATCGGTATCTCTAACAGAAACAACAATAGCCTCTCTTTAGGTATCTTCCTTTGTTCGACTCGGCATGCGTCTCATCCACAAAACCACCAGCCACAATGACTTCCATGCTGCCAAAGTCATACTTCATGGCTTCTTCGCTCAGGAAGCGCGCGAGGTCGGCCTTGTTTCCTGACAGGGCGACGAAGCTGCTCCAATCCTTAGGTAAGGGAACTCCCTCGTTTTTGATTACTCTTCGTACAGGAGCAAAACCCTTTCCGTTGTGTTTTCTTGTATCTGCCTTCACAGAAAGATAGCGGTATCGATCAAATACCACGTGAACTTCATTATACTGGAAACTGTAGGCTTCAATTCTCTTGTTGAAAGCACCTGCAATATCACTGAAGTATTTCCCTGTGAGTGTTCTCACCAGTGCTTGAACGAATGCCATCCCATCTATTATAAGACAAGCAGAATTTTTGTTGATTGCTATTGAACTCGGGCAGTCTATATTTTTAGTTATTTCCTTCACAATGGAGGCCTTTTCAGCTGGTCTTAAGTCGCCATTCATAAGAGCCAACGATATAGGGACATTGCACAGCTCATGTCTCAGAATAGAATTCAAGTCTACTTCTCTACCTGCATCAAAAGCTACTACAAGAGTGTGGAGAAAGTCTCGGCCATCCTTCTTCATTTCTGTGCAACCCGCGGCCGATTTTTCTTTGTGAAGGTATTGTAAAGTTGGTGACTTATTTTTGGCACGGTTGCATAGTAACTTAATTTTGGCTTTCCAGTTTCAGGGTCCTTTATGAGTCGTTGTGAAACAAACGCATGAACGAGTTCATTTCCACGTTTCTTGGCACAGAGAAGAGCTTCTGATATTTTACTTGTGCCTCTATCTTTCGTAGCGATGTTACATACAACTTCGGATACTTCAGGAGGCAGCAGCTCCATTGTTTCCATTATACGTAGTAAAGCATCTTCATCAGAAATATCTCTCGTGCGACGGGAATTTCCTTCTTCCTTAAAAGTGTCCTTTCTCTGTATGCCATATGAGGCGTAGGTGTTTGCAGCAATCTCACTTCGCCAATGCAGAGACAAAGCCAAACGCTGCAAAGTTCGCACATCTTCAGTTATCCCTACAATACCGCCAGAAACATCTTTGCATGTGCCAACAAGCCATTCCTGAGCGTGGTCGGGATCAACTTGTGAGAACTTCTGACTGGACATAGCAACTCCGAATTCACCTGAACGAAACTGCGACCTTACCTCGGGGGGTTATTGGTGCATTTCAATGTTGTATGCAGTCATTGACTTCAGATAATTCCCGTGGTCGTACAGAGCTGTGTACGGAATTATAAGAAGGATTACATAACATAAGAAGGATGAAGACCATGTCCATATAACTCCACCAAAGTGCAAAATTCTTGTCTTCTTCGCAACGCTGCTTCAAGAAGTCGGTTATGTGGGAAAGAACTTCGGAAGACTGCAGGTAATCTCGAAGATATTCTGGGTTATCAAAAATAAGTTCCAACTCTTCTTCATCTTCAAAGTGGTGGTCCTCGAGGTTAGCAAGAATTTGGGGATAAAGTATTCGCCACAACGCCTGCAAAGTCAGTTTGTGTGCTCGCATAGCCTTTGCATAGGCCTTACCTTCTAGCACTTTTGTAGCTGACCCCTCAGCGAGAATTCCGCTTTCCAACCAAATTTCTGAAAGGCCACTACCAGCCATATGCTGCCCTATTGTGTGGAGAAAGTTCATGGCTATATGGAGGCCACCCATTCTCAGTATGAACCGTTCTTTGAATTCTGGTGAACTCCATTCTAACAACTTGCAATAGAGTTGCTGGTCTGCAGTAAGACTAATATACTTGTAGCCTAGACTATTTCCAAGAGCAATACATCCTTGGAGAACAGTGGTGAGAGTTTCTATTTCATGGGCTGGATTCAAAATAATTGGCATGAAACCAACAGCAGAGGGTTCTCGTTCAACAAACGTTTGCTTTTTGTTGAACTCTGTCCATCCAACTTTTTTGTCTGCTTCCATTCTAGATACCAAAAAAGTTATATCCTCTGTTCTGGACTTGAGCACATGATTACTCATTTTAGTGAAGTCCAAAGGATCGTTAGTAGTGAATGATGCAACGTCCACGGGATGCAAAAAGTGTGGCTCTGGTCTGGCGAACGTTCCAACACTACACAACTCGTTCAATTCAGGTGGTACTTGTAAGGTTGTGGACTTCGATAATGTCATAGTGCTGAGAACCTTAGTAGTTTGCTCAGCCTTTCGTTGAAAAGCAACCATTTGCGTCACATTGAAAACTTTCTTCCCATCAAGACTGTCAAGCATAAGGTTAATATTGTCTGCCGCAACATGGGGGACCGGAACAGTATTACCTCCGAATTCTGACATATGTTTAAAATTTGGTGGAGTCACTGCTCCAGTTTCTTTGTCAAACTTCTGCAGTGTGACAGTTGCCAAAGTTGTGTCGGCTTGTAGGACATTGCGGTAGCTGATAATATGTCCAGCAGCATGGAATAGGTTCACTAATTGTTTACTCCGTGTAGCATGATGTAAAGTTAGGCCCAGATTGATGTGTTTGGGGGTAAGTTTTTTTCTTTTACTCACAGCATACACAATATCCTGTGCTATAGAAAGGGCAGCGTTTTTTAACCCACTTCTTTCTGCTTCAGTGATTCCGGCTTCGTCCCTGTCCTCGGCGTCTGCCACATCACCTATCGAATCTAAAACCTCTTCACCTTGTAAGAGGACACTCAAAAACAGATGCAAAGAATCAGGAATTATTTTCACTACAGCACCTTGGGAAATCTCGAAACCACAATGACCCGGCAAGGCCATCAAATCTCCTCTTACTTACAGAGCACAGTGTACGATAGTACGGAGAAAATCATCAGGCTCGTGCGAAGGTAAATCAAAGTCATCATCCACGTTCGAGGAGTTTTCAGTAGCTGCCTTTTTACCTACTGGTACGGGAATGAGCAACATTTGTATCTCGTGTACGTCTCTGTTTAAAGGTTGGAAAAACTGGTAAATTCCTCCCAATTCCTCTTCCAGCTTAGTTTTAAAAACACTTCGCCGGGACTCAAATGAAACTGGGATGTCAACGTCTAAGCCCTTTGCTAGATTGACGTACCTCTGCCATACATCGTCCAATTTCAATATCTAGAAATAAAAATTATTGTGTACAATAGTGTGACGCTACTTTTAAATTTCGATTGTCCTTCGCAAACACTGGTACTAACCTTTTCGAGAGAAGCAGCAACTCGAAATTCCTTGCAAAGTTGCCAGAATGGTAGCATGTTTCTCCGGTCCTCATTTTTTGTCGCCGCATCCATCGCATCTTTTACTCTGCCAAGCCTGACACGACACGTGCTATGATACATGGCATCTGCGGCAATCAAATCACCAACTGCATTCACTTTAATATTCAGCTGGTAGTCAAATTTGGAAAGCTCTGTTAGCTTCATGTGCATATTTGTTGACATCACTAGGCGTAGATGCTCTTTAGATTCTTGCTGGCACACTATACATTTGAGTTTATCAAATTCCAAGGATTCAGATCTTGTTACTTTCTGAGGCGTAGCACCTGTTTTGGCCGCCTTGTCCATATTTGAATTGTTTTTCTGTTGGAGCGTTTCGATATTTCTTCTTGCAGTAAATGTTGCATAACAATTGTTATGAGTCACAAAGTTATTTTCACATGCGGGACCCCGTATATTTTGTAAAATTCTGAGTATAGCACCACTGAATTGATAATCGTGGGCTGTTTTGCGTTGTTCGGCACATTCAACCAGCCTGGTTGCACCCTGACTGGACAACTTCGAAAGATGTTCTTGATCATCTTTACCTCTCTTTGTCTGGCAAATAAGGCACAAATTGCTGTTAACTACAGACGGTTCTTCTGAATTGTTGTCGTTCATCCTGAATAAAGTTACATCAAAACCTAAAAAGCAAGCAATATTTTTGCCCTTTAAACATTCATATGGGAACCTAACCTCAAACTCTTGGCTAGTCATATATTGTCGTATGTGCATCCGTCGAAGTACTATTTTTAATGCCACATGAATATCACTTTGCACCCCTAATCACTTTTTGTACATACCTTGTAGCACTGAAACTTGTAGAAATATAAATATGGAAATACTGTTTGTTTCATAGCACTATATTCCGGGGAATCACCGGCACTTGACTCACCGCCTTCTCGAAAACGCTGTTACAGACACTGCATGGCGCCAAATTTTGAACAGAAGTGTCTCATCATGTTCCACACCCCCGAAAACATAAAAATCGACACCTCACTCGTATGACTGACCAAAAGTAGAAAATAATTAGATTTTAGGGTTATTTTGGACGTCATCTTGAATATTCCACTTCCGGTTGGAATTTCGACTTGATAAATGGTATTTTCGGATTCAGCGGGGTCGAAACAGGGAGTGAACGTCATTTATCCAATTGTTACATGAAATGCTTCTAGGATTGTAACGGAGAGCTTTTTTTGGAATCTAGCCCCGACTAACAATGTATTCAACCCCTGATGAATAATAATCAATTATGTACCAAGATAAGGGACTCAATTAGCGATGGGAAAGTTTGCGTTCCGGAAGCCTCATGCCCGAGGACCAGTAATTGCCTGACGTTATTAGGACTTATCAATTTCCGTGGTACATAGACACATTTTATACCAAAGAAGCTAGCAAAGCCACTCTCGAATCACAACATGAGACACATCTCATAGTTGATGGCTCATTTCAGAACTTATTACCCTATTTCCGAATTTTGTGCTCCTCCCTATCATAGAAGAATCTGTGGTTTTTCTAGCTTCGGCCGAACTCAGCAAAGCCATTTTTGAAAATGAAATTTTTCCTAATATTTGATATAGTGAAAATAATAGTGCTCATTTTTGGTTAATTTATTACTCTATTACCAATTTTCTTGCTCCTTTCTATCATAGAAGAATTTATGGTTTTGCTAGCTTCGGCCGAACTCAGCAGAGCCATATTTGAAAACATGGACTTTTCACCGATTTGATATATTGAGATCAGATGGCTGATTGTAGGCTAATCAATTATCTAATTTTCGAGTTTTTTGCTCAACGTTCCAAACAGAAAAAATACAAGACCATTTGTCGAAATACACGTCATTCACTGTACATTATGTATTTCTATCAAAAGCATATTTTATGACGACTTCATGAGGCAAAGTGTTAGTATTGATTGTAAGCTTGATAGCTATATCCCGTTTTGGAATTTTCTGCTATACATTTTTTAAAACAAACCTGTGGCTTTGCTGGCTTCTCAAGTATGCTGAGTTTGCTTGAAGCTAGCACAGCCACAGGTTTCTTTTGAAAAATATGCAGAAAAAATTTCGAAATGGGATGGTTATTGAGCCTACAATCAATACTTACATTATGTCTTGAGAAATTGCCATCAAATATGCTTCTGATAGAAATGCATGATGTATAGTGAATGAACGCGTATCTCGACGAAGAATCGTTTAGTTTTTTTGTGAAAAATATAATATTTTCAAAAGTGGCTCTACTGAGTTTGCCCGAAGCCAGCAAAGCCACAGGTTTCTTCTAAAAAATATGCAGCAAATATCACGAACTTGGACAGTTATTGAGCTCACAATAATTAATAACACATTGCTTCATAAAATCATCATGAAATATGCTTTTGGTAGAAATGCATGATGTATAGTGAATAACGCGTATATCGACGAATCTTTCCTTTGTTCGAAAAGTTGAGTGAAAACTTCGAGAATAAGGTAATTCATTAGCCTGAAATGAGCACTACATTTTGGCTATATCAGATCATCAAGAAATATAATTTTTCAAAAATGGTTCTGCTGAGTTTGCCCGAAGCTAGCAAACCCACAGGTTTCTTTCAAAAAATTTGCAGCAAAAAATTCCATAATGGGATGGTTCTTGAGCTCATATTCAATTCCAATACTTTGCCTCATAAATTATTATAAGATATGCTTCAGATAGATATGCATAATGTATTGTGAATAAATGCGTATTTCGACGAATCGTTTTGATTTTATTTTGCTTGAAACATCGAGGAAAAAATTCGGAAATAGGGTAATAAATTAGCCTGAGATCAGCTCTTCAATATCGATATATCAAATCAGTGAAAAATATATTATTTCGAAAAATGGCTCTGCTGAGTTTGCCCGAAGCCAGCAAAGCCACAGGTTTTTTTCAGAAAATATTCTGCAAAAAATTCCATAATCAATAATAACACTTTGCCTCATGGAATCGTCATAAAATATGCATGCTTCAGATAGAAATACATAATGTACAGTGAATGACGCGTATTTCAACGAATTATCTTGCATTTATCCTGTTTGAAACGTTGGGTAAAAAATTCGAAAATAGAGTAATTAATTAGCCTAGAATAAGCCATTTGATCTCAATATATCAAATCGGTGGAAAATCTATGTTTTCAAAGATGACTCTGCTGAGTTCGGCCGAAGCTAGCAAAGCCACCGATTTTTTTATGATAGAGAGGAGCAAGAAAATTAGGAATAGGGTAATAAATTAGACTAAAATGAGCACTACATTTTCACTATCAGAAATTCAGAAAATAATGTTTCTCAAAAATGGCTTTGCTGAGTTCGGCCGAAGATTCTTCTATGATAGGGAGGAGCAAAAAATTCGGAAATAGAAATGAATGAGCCTAAAATGAGCCTTGAATTATGAGATGTGTCCTTATGTTGAAATTCGGCAGTGGCTTTAATAGCTTCTTTTCATTTCTGACTGATTTCAATGGAATGTTATTCATTATTGAAACGGATTAAATGTACCAATTGATCACCTTCGCACTATATACGAATCAGGTACCGTTAATTGAAGGAGTCCTGAGAATGTATATGAATGTACATATATATTGAAGGTTTTTTTTTCTCATATACTCGAGAAAGGTAGAAGACGTTGCGATGACAATCAAAACTACGGAAAAACATCTAACTCCCTGGAATAGATTGGAGTTCAGATATGTTTAGATATGTCACACATGATAATGTTGCTTTGAGGATATGAGCTCATAACATCTGCATGTGAAATAAATTCACTCGTGAATAATTGTTTTTTGCGTAATTCAGCATACTTGTCGTTGATAGCGATGAATGTCATGTTCAAAGGTGATGATGATGACAAGTAGTGTGTGTCAAGATGAAATATATCAAATAAACTGGTCAACAGTTGTGCAAATTATATCATAAATTCAAAGTTAAATGATCCACAAATTTCCTATCCAATTCAAAATCGGTATTCACCAACGAGTGTGTCATTTTCAAAGATGATGATTATGACAGGTAGTGTGTGTCAAGATGGGATATGTCGAATGAACTGGTCAATAGTGGTGCAAAATATATCATAAATTCAAAGTAGAATGATCCACGAATTTCCTGATCATTTAAATCGGTATTCACCGACAGCCTGATTTTGAAACAGTTCGTCGTGGCAATCTACAACTCAGGAGATTTCATATATAATCTCTACAGGATGATAATGGAGTGAGTGGAAAACTAGAATGTCGTCGTTACCTTGCCGTTTGAGCAGATTTTTTTTTGATTGAGGCATATCCTTGGAACTCCTTCGAGATTACCCAACTCGAAGCTTTCATGATCGTGTTATGAGTATTCATTCAATATGAGGCATTTTCTCAAAGACTGATCATTGAAGGAAATTGGAAATTGAGATTTTTGTTTGGAAAATCAACCTTGTATGTATAACCTCTGGATATAAAATACTATACGACTATTCGAACACAGAAACTCACGGAGAAGTGATACAAGAATTACTGGATGACCAAATGAAGAATACCGTAATGCCTTTGAATAAAATATGATTTTCTCTGTGTCATTTGTTATATGATGTAGTGGTCAATCGTCATAATAAACCCAATTAGGAGTTTCAGTACCTATTCATTTCACAGTTTTCGCCAATGACCGACCTATATTTCTCATTCGGAACAATCTCCCTGTTCATTCCGGAACATTCTGAACATATTCTTGATCGCACCTTGTATATTCATTATGGAGAATAATGAATATTCATGTATCATGGACATAAAGTCGCTGGGGCTATCAACACGCCTATAGGTCCATGAGATCAAGTTACGTCCGAAAAACATACAACATTTTATGCACCATCAATTTAAACATTCATTCACTGTCAATTCTGAATCAATTGATTATTTTGCATTCATTTTGACAAATTATGTTTGTATGTCACTGGCAGATAAAGATCGAATGGTACCTAGTCTACCAGAAATTTCTGGAAAAACAAGAGAAAAATACTTCACCGCTCGACCACCTACTTAACCGCCCGCTAGACTACTAACCGGATTGAGACTGACCCCTTCAAAAAATGTATAGGAAGGCATAAATTACAAATTCTATTCCTTGGCAGGTGAAGTTTGGGTCAGGGTATTCTATTCATCTCTTGAAGAGCACGATAATGATATAATGACAAAGAATTTGTGAAGTGTGCTGATGCAAAATATATGGAAAGCAATATTGAACAAAATCCAAGATCATTCAGAAATTACTTCTCAAATCAGCATAGCTCGGCAACACTTTTGGAACTGACAAGTCCTTTGGAAAAGTCCTCGCCACCTTTTCGATTTGTTTTCTAGATGCAAGTAGGCTATTGAGACAAAATCTTGGGGTCGGGTTGTAGTGTGCAAAAATTATGCAATCTGTCCCAGCTAAAACTTCATTCCGGTTGCCACGAGGTGATAGGATGGCACTACAATTTCAATACCAAGGATGGAAACGAAGGAATATAAAATATACTCAAAGAAAAAAAAGTGAATGAATTGATCATTTTTCATTACATTGAATCCAATCAAACAAATCTACTCACCTACAAATTCAACACCAGGTATACTTTGGATTTACTTCAGCAAAAACAACT